TTTTAAAGGCTAAGCAGCCAGCTGACCAGCCAACTGGCCAACCAGCAGGTAGCTATGATGAGCACTGACCACCAGGGGACAGACGCTCAACACAGGAGCTGCCAAGAGACAGCAACTTTGCAGAGTGCCCTCTTGCACTCTGGGACCCCTCGGGTGATGTCGGACTGCCGGTTTCAGCCCAATCCCCACAGGCCAGGCCAAGGGACCCCACCTGCCAAAGGGACCCCCTCACTCTGCAGTCGCACTTTGAGCCCTGGCACGCCACCTCAGGTGCGGCTGGCCAGGGAGGGACCATAGGAGGTTGGCTCCAGGGTGTGTCCACCCCATCTCGCCCATTCCCTCCCTGCTGGCCACCTTCTAATTAATTTCCTTTCAATGTGCACAAATCCGTGCACTGGGCCTCTAGTAGATTAATAATTTTACTCCTAATGCTGAGATTAGAAAATATGTGTATATTTTTAAAGTGAGCTCTTTGGGCCCAGCTGACGTGGCTCAGTGGTTGAGCATCGAATTATGAACCAGGAGGTCATGATTGATTCCCAGTCAGAGGACATGCTCAGGTTTCGGGCTCGATCTCCAGTGTGTGGATGTGCAGGAGGCAGCCGGTTAGTGATTCTTTCTCATCATTGATGATTCTATCTCTCTCTCCCTCTCCCTTCCTCTCTGAAATCATTTAATTAATTAACTAATTAATTAATTAAAATGAAAGTGAGCTCTTTAGGTGCACCCAATCCAATTTTTCCTCAAGCTAGAGGGCGGAGTACCTGCTAACTTAAATAGCTAAGAAAAGCTCAGGAGCATAGTCCCCAGTGAAATGCTGTGCAAATCTCCACGTGGCTACAGATGCAGCTGCAGCCCCCACTTTTTTGCAGGCCCAGGATTTGTTCAATTTCCTTTCAGTTTTGAAAACGGTTTACACACCAGACATGAAGTTTCCTTATGTAACGTCTCACAAAGCACGAAGAGGTCTGCTCACTGGCTGTGCACGAGGAGATATAGTTATATAACTCGTAATTCTGTGGTTTTCAGCGACACAAGTATATTATTTCTCCCTGACGAAGAAGAGGCCTTTGCCCCTGTCATAGTCTGCCGCTTTCTTTCTAATATGACTTGACAGCTTGAATTCAGAAGGAAGCTTCCCAATTTGAAGAAGGGGATGGAACTACGGTGTCTGTGCTAACAGCCCCCTTGCTGCTCTAATGAGGATTCCCTTACTCTTACTCCATTTCTATTTCTCGGGAGAGGACAGGGTTCTTTTTAATTGGGGCTATTAGAAGCTCTCTGCACAATGACACCCTCCGCTACATAAAGGCTCCAGCAAGAGCCAGACCCACTCTGCAATTACTTCTTGCAGTTCTGAGAAATAATGGTATCTTGTCTCATTTAAAAATAAATCTGAGACTTATTCCTGATTGCTTTTTCTCCTCTGCCTACCCACATGAATTTCTTCTTGCCAACTGAGCAAACTTGCCATTATTTAAGGAGGTTGTTTTGATTGTGACTGTCCCCTGATAATAAGATATATTAAACTAGATATCATGTGCCCATGGTTCCTTTCTTCCCGATACAAGGCTAATTTAAACGAGCTCAGATCTCGTGATCTTGAGTTAATATCGAAAGGGTGAAGTTTTGGAATTTGCTGAGCAGTGTTCTGTTTGCAGGTCACAGAGCTCACCTGAAATTCCCCGCATTTCCAATGTTCGGAGTTTCTCAGAATCACTTCTTAAGAGAACAGATGAAGGTTTGTATTTATGACCTATTCCAAGAAAAGAAATGAAATATTTAGATAGTAACCAAGCACATTCTTAAAATATATTCCCCATGTTGAGACCATGGATTACCAAGGAAATGAGCCATTCACAACAGGGCCTGGAATGGCAAGACATAAAGAGCTTTTCCTTAAGTTGTTTTTCATGAACAAATACAGGTTCTTTCTAAAACCAGTGGCTTCTCCACTGCCATAAATGCCATATGCCATCTTCCTAATGAAAAGCCCAGCTCTTATGTATAGAATGTTATCTTATTTATGTTATTATATATACATAGATATCATGTACAGAATATTTTATTATTTGATATTTAATATCCTAAATGATGTGACTTTTTATTACTGCCTATGCTTGGATTTATAAAGCAAGCCTTTGAAAGTTATTAAGCCTGTCACGTGGCTCAATGTTCATAAGAACTCAATGTCAATCCCCACTATTCGTCTCTTTCTAGACCCATTTTCTTTCTGGTTTCTATCTCTCTTTCTTAGTATGTTACTATATGGAAAAAAATAGATTAAAAAAACTCAAAACTAAGCACTATTTGCAATAATATACATTTATTTAAAATAACATAATTTTCAAAACTAGAAAGACCCTGAGTCTTAATGCTGACATTTTATTAGTTGTATAACTCTGGACAGAATACTTAACCTCCCTGAGGCTCAGGGTTATTGTTTTTTAAAATAAAAATAATAGCACATACCCTGTTTTCATGCTTTGAGAATCTAGTAAAAATCTTGTGAGAATGCTATTCTACAAATATACAATATTATGATCATTAACCAATGCATTAGGGGTCATATATAAGGTATCAATGACAAGACTTGATATGAAAGTGCTCTCAGAAATGTCTGCAACAAATACTTAGTCAAAAGAATTAATGGCACTTGCACTCAAACCTAGAGGCAACCATTTGTTTGGCTACTGAAATGACTAACAGCCTTGCCTGGTAAAGAACATAAGAGCCTTGGGAAATAATACAAGCAGCACAATACTACTCTTGTTTACTGAGCATTGCCATGCTCGACATTGTGTTAAATTTCTTATGTAATCTCTTTCATTCAATGCTTACTTCAACCCTGTGTGGTAATGGTGACTAGCCTTGTTTTACAGAGGGGAAAAAGGAACACTCAGATACAGTAAGCAACTTGCTCAAAGTCACATAACTAGTGAGTGGTAGTACTAGGATTCTAATGTATCCACCTACCTCCAAAGACTAGTCTCATACTGACACATTTTTCTCTTGTCTTTAAGAGAGACCACTGCTTTCGATCAGGCCTGATATTCAGCCAGTATATTCATGGGCACGCACTCATAGAGCCAATATATGGATGGATACCCACCAGCAGGGCAGTTATATGCATGTATACACAAGTAGGGCTATGGCAATAGTTAACATTCAGTGTCCACCCTGATAGGTGACCATCTTATTAGTTATTAAATATTTTAATATCATCCCTAGAGTCTTGATTTCCAGTTCCACATTTTAGCTCAGCCCAGCCAAAAATCAACTGACACACTCACACTCATTAAAGATTGGCTCCCCCCTCCCACTCATCACCTTAACTTAGATCTCCAACAATAACACTCTTTATCACCACTCCCTACTGAATCGCCACTTACACACAGTAGGTGCTCAGTAACCGGTAAATTAAACTAAAACAAAAACAACTATAGATAAGATTAGGAGTTCCTTGAAACTAAATGGATTATCCCAAATGATGGATTTATTTCTCAATACTTACTCTGCCACTTCTGCACTCGCCTATGGACTTCAAGTATTTTGTGGATAATGAGGATGAGCAAAAATATAAAAACTAATATTACTAACACATACCAAGTGATCTTCATGAAACAAGAGAAATCTGCAAAGAAAAAAATACAATAAAAGGACACAATAAACAAGAGGCTATGTGGTGGTGCAGCTGGGTTCTATTACATATTCTGCCCGTAACTAAAAAGCTAAATATTATATAGCATCACTTTATGAGTCATTTGCTCTCCTGAATTCTTCCCTGATGTACGAGGAAACTTGATCAGGTGGCTTCCTGAGATCCATTTAGTTCTGAATTTCTAGGGTTAATTTCTTACAGGTTACGCTAGTGTTAGTTTCACTATCATTTCTATCACTAGGTTAAGACCAGGACATAGCCAAGCAGCCAAAAATTATATCCTGACATCAACAAAGATGCACTGAGTATGAGGAGGATGAGGACGAAAGGTAAAGACAGACAAAGAGAAAGGGCTGGGCTGAGGCACAGGAGGTGAAAGCAGCCAGGGCAGATGAATAATCAGACTCCCCTTTTCACAGGGGCCCTCAAGGCGATGATCAGATCAAGTACATGCATTAATTAAACATGCAGTTATCCCAGCCTAAACTGAATGAAGATACAGGTAAACACTTGGTCACTCAAATGACAGTGAAGCCACACAGGGAGTACGGTCACCATCCAGCAATAGTTTAGCACGGTCTCCTTTGGTCCCATAGAGACACACTGGCCAGCCGACCCAGGAATCAGTGACTTAAACGATGACAACCTCATCATGTCCAAGACACAACTGTCTACTGACTTTCTAAGCCATCCTCTGGACCCTCTTCCTTGTACACAAAACACAGCTAGTACTTATTCAACTTAGCAAGATATATAACTTGCATATACCCTTGGATGACTGCCCTTGTTGTGCTCATGATCTGGGTATCCCTTTCACAGGACCCCCACTCCATGCGCAGGTGTACATCACATAAGCAGTCAACATGTATTTAGAGAAGAAGCTAGATGAAGAAAAGTCATAGTTGACTGGGATGACATAGCACTTGGCCTCCCCAATATCATTCCATGATAGTTAGCTGCCAAACTTGCATTTCTCACTCAGCAAGATAAAAGTATGTAGTCAGCCCAGCCGGCCTGGCTCAGTGGTTGAGCGTCGACCTATGAACCAGGAGGTCATGGTTTGATTCCTAGTCAGGACACCTGCCCAGGTGGTGGGCTTGATACCCAGTAGGGGGCATGCAGAAGGCAGCCAATCAATGATTCTCTATCACTGATGTTTCTATCTCTCTCTCTCCCTCTCCCTTCCTCTCTTTAAAAAAAAAAAAAAGGAATAGATTGTCAGTGCCAGCAAAAGCCAAGATGGGTCCAACCACCAAGGTGTCACTGGGTAGTGGTCAAGCCAAAAAAAAAAAAAAAAGAACCATGCATTCACCAAAGTTATATTGCAAGAGCAGAATGTGCACAGTTGAGGCCAAGCCAGCCAGCCCACCCACCAGTGTGAACATAGCATCAGCATGAACACAGAGGAATGTGTTTCCCCACATCCCATGCCTCACACCTTCCCTGCATCCCTGCAGCCACCTGGGAGAGAGCCAAGGGGAAACGAACAAGAATCTGAAAAAAATCTAAAGAGACGGTTTAAATTATTGTTTCAGAGTAAATTTACCAAATTGGACTAAATTTTGTTTCATTCCCTGATGGATGGGGCTTTTAAAGAAGATCACATTAGTCTTTGCACAGCAGAGTAAAATACGAATAATTTTTTAATCTTCTACACATGGCAAAATGGATATAGTTTTTCCAGAATATAAAACTACCTATGTATGCACCCCTATAATCTTTCTGAATTATAGGCCCCCCAAAAAATTAACTATCATTTCACTCTGACTAGATTTGTGGATTTTTCCATTAACACAAAAATAAATCCTCTTAAAATCATAATAGAAATGCTTATTTTTCCTTTATGTTTTAGAACATCAAGTAATTAAATGGATACATAAATGTACATTGAAATAAATGTTTTAGAATCTATAATCCAAACCTCTTTATCTTTCAGATTTTATCACAGTCACCTTTCCTATGCAGCCTTTCCAAAACTTACCTCCCAACCTCACACCTGAACCAGAAGGAACGGAACGGACTTTCTCATGCCCTCTCCCATGCCACCCCCACCCCACACACACACACACACACACACACACACACACACACACACACACACACCTTGAAATACGCACTAACTGCAGAAGCTGTAGGGTCCTGGGCAAACTAACTCACAGGAGAAAATTCTCTGAAGTCGTGTATTTTATTTTCAAAATGCATACATAGTATATATTTGTGTTTGCTTTAAAATAAAAATAAGATTTTTTAAATAGTTGCCTCAAAAATAACTAACGTTTTAGAAAACCATTCCAAAGTCACCTGAAAGGCTCCCAGGCATCTGGAACATCCAAAAGCACAGAAGATTGCTCTAGCAGAGCACCTGTCGCACTGAATGACCTCCCTGATTGCTTTGCATTCATCTCTCTTTGTGTCCCCAATGCCTGGAACACTGCTTGGCATACAGCAGGCACTCATTAAATGGTTAGATCATAAAATGCTCTTCAAGAGTAGGTTTTGTGGCTAAGTGAGGGCACAATGCTTAGTAAAAGGATCAATTGTGGTCAATCAGAAGAGGGTGGGTAAGAAGTTAATCAGCCTTAAGCAGAACTAAGATATATGTAAGTTTTGTCTTTGGGCTCCTACATTCCCCCAACTCCTCCAGGGAACCAAAGTGCTTAATCTTTATCCTGCCTATCTTCTCGGCTTCACATCAAGAATCCTATTTAGCTATGGTAAGGGGGAGAGATCAAGTAAAGGACTTGTATGCATGCATAGAAGCCTAACCAATGGACACAGACACCAGGGGGTGAGGGCATGAGGGGGGCAATGGGGGGATAAGGACACATATGTAATACCTTAATCAATAAAGAGAAAGAATCCCATTTAATGCAGACCTGGTTCACAGCTCTAAGAGGACATGTTAAATCAATTCAAAGTAAGATGTTAATAGATATCACAATGTACATGGATATTTACATTTTAAAATAAACCTCACCCTTTCATACCCAAGTGAGGTAGTATTACTTCAAGTGCAGCTAATAGGCATGTACAACATCTTTTCTAGAGCAGAGGGTCTTTCTAGTGACCCTCAGTCACCACCCATAGATGCTCCTTCTGCCTCCAGGTAGGGTTGGGCCCCATAAAGAGCACATTTAAAAAAAAAAACAGATAAAGGGGCTAACACTTTTCTAGCCATATTACTTCATCAATAAAGTTCTTCAATGATTTTACTTTCAGTGAAGTTAATGTGATAGCCCTTATATAATTTCTCTTTTCCCTCTAATTTCCTTTAAAACTTACTTTTTACATCCATTTCTAGGTGCAAAGAAATGTGTACACAATTATTCGAGTGATTCATAATTCCACAAGTATGGTCTATAGACTTTTCCGTGGTTGGCTCTTCCTCCATCATTGCTGAGCTTCTGGTGCCTGTTCTTAGATGACAGGTAATGTTATATTCCTCCGAGTGGTCAACTGCAGGAGCTACAGTGAAGTTAAAATGTCGACAAGGTGAAAGATCGTTTGCCTTCACTTCCATGGATCCTCTCATGATAAGAACTAGAAAGAGATTAGAAAAATGTTATTCACAAAATAGTAATACCTAGTAAGAAAACAATTTAAAACTAAATCTCTTCCTATATAAAAAAGTAGAAACAAGAAGTTACCTGCACTAAATTTTTTTAAGATTGTGAAACCCAAAGGACAATAAGATTGAAACAGAATCAGAGCATCTCAAAGAAAACACAGATATTTCTCTGACAACTTGTGGAACCGATTTTATTTTTCAAAATTGTCACAACAATATTTCTCATCCCACATTACACTAGTTTGCTAGGGCTGCATCACAAAGCACCATAAACTGGGTGACTTAAGCAACAGAAATTTATTGTCTCACAGTTTTAGAGGCTAGGCTTTCAAGATTAAGGTGTTGGCCAAGTTGCTTCTCTCTGAGGGCTCTCTGGGTAAGATCTGTGCCAGGCCCCTCTCCAAGCTTCTGGGGTTGCTGGCAATCTTGGCATTGCGTGGCTTGTGGAAGCATCACCCTAATCTCTGCCTTTATTTTCACATGGCGCTCCATCTGTGTGCTTGTCTGTGTCCACATTTCCCCTTTTTATAAGGACACCAGTCATATTGGACCCTAACCCATCCTGTTGACCTCATCTTAACTAATTACATCTGCAACAACCCTATTTTCAAATATCACATTCTGAATTACTGGAGGATAAGACTTCAATATAATTCAACCCATAGCATACATGTTAACTTAAAATTTTGCCACTGCACCATAGATAGGTAGAGTCTAATACCTTGAATCTGGGTGGGAGGGTTTGTGATAAGTGTAATCAACCAAATTCAGAAAAAGAGACTCTTCATGGTGAAGCCAGAAAGGTGAAGCAATATCTACCTTGTTCCCTGGAACATAATATTAGGGCCTTGAACCACTATGTACCAGTTCAACAACTTAAAGTGATCATGCTGTGAGGAAGCCCAAAGTAGCCCACATGGAAAGACCACATAGGAAATTCTGAGAAAAAACCTGAAGAGAAATGCCCACCTGTCTCTAGCTGCTCAGCCCCTCTGCTTTAGCTCGCCACTGTCTTACCCAACAGTATGAAATGCTCCCAGCCAGAAATGCCCAGTTATGCCCATTCTGAATCCCTGACCCACCAAGAAGAAGAGGAAGAAGGAGGAGGAAGAGAAGGAGAAGAGAAAAGAAAAGAAAAGATAGGAAGGAAGGAAGGAAGGAAGGAAGGAAGGAAGGAAGGAAGGAAGCAAGAAGAAGAGGAAGAAGGAGGAGGAAGAGAAGGAGAAGAGAAAAGAAAAGAAAAGATAGGAAGGAAGGAAGGAAGGAAGGAAGGAAGGAAGGAAGGAAGGAAGGAAGGGAGGGAGGGAGGGAGGGAGGGAGGGAGGGAGGGAGGGAGGGAGGAAGGAAGGGAAGGAAGAAGGAAGGAGGAAGGAAATAAATGATTGCTGTTTTTTTAAGCCACTGAGTTTTGGGGTGATTTATTACACAGCTATAGCAACTAAGAGAACTTATCAATGCACTGTTTTCACTTTCTTTCTTTTTTTTTATTTCCTTCCAAGCCAGAGGGCCTCACTTTCTTTTAATGAATTAATTTGAACATAACTATTTTAGAATAGTTTTAGACTTACAGAAAAGTTGTGAAGACAATACATGGAGTTCATATATACTCCATACCAACTTTCCCCTATTATTAACATTTTACATTCACAGGAACATTTGTCACAATTATTGAGCCAATATTGATACATTATTATTGACTAAAGTCCATACTTTATTCAGGGTTCCTTGTTTTTTACCTAATGTCCGTATTTTTCACTCCAGGATTCCATTCAGGGTACCTATTCACATTTACTCATTATATCTCCTTAGACTCCTCTTGATTGACAGTTTCTTAAACTTTTCTTATTTTTGATGACCTCAACAGTTTTGAGGAGTCCTGAGCCAGGTACTTATAAAATGGCCCTCAATTGGGATCTTTTTCTTTCTTTCTTTTTTAATATCTCAAGAAAAATGATTTTAAATATAATGATGTTACATGCAATAAACACCTATTATTTAAGAAAACACTGTTTTCACTTTTCAAAGAGACAGAGAAGTAGCACCTGTGAAATGCCAGCCCTTGAAACACTTTCTAGTTCTTTGCTATCATAAAGGTATTTCCCCATTTTGCTTTCTGGTGATTTGACCCGAAGTCCTGCAATAGTTACAACACTGCTTGAAGAAGAACTCAGAAGAAGACATGTCTATTGTACTTCATCAAAAGTCAATGACAAGAAATCTTGTTCCCAATTTTTTGTTGTTGGCATTATTACAGATGTCCTCTCATCCTCCCCTCCTTGTTCCCATTTCTAAAGAATGGGGAAAATGCCAATATAAAACAAATAAAAGGCAATCTTGTTTATGCCTTTTTCTCAGTACATTTCAGCTTATCAGTGACAAAAATAAATCGGCATAAGCAATCATTTTTATGCTTAGGCTTGAGGCAACCAATATATTTTGTGATTATAAGTGAATTACTTAATTTCTCAATGATTCAAATTAATACAATGTAACTAAATAATATATATTGATCACATAATAAATGTAAGATTCAATTATACACTACAGGTAATATGTAGTTATTTTTTATTTGTTCATTCATTCATTAAACAAATACTTATTGAGTACCAAATGTCAGGCATTATGCTAAGATATAGAAATATACTAGTGAACAAAGACAAAGACCTTGCCATCAATAGGCTCACTGGATAGTTAGACAAGTAAAAAGACAGCTCATATATAGTGGATAAATGTTAAGCAGGAATAGTTATAAATGTATCAAGAATTCAATGACTCCTTAGAGAATCAAAGTATGATTTTTTTTTTACTCTGAGAACCTACAAGTTTATTTAGAATTTTTAATTCACATTTTAAAGACCATTTATTTAAATTCAGTATCTTTGAAAATAGCATGTTAAATAATTCTTTAACCATCAAATCTTTGTGAATCACAGTGGCATCGATATTTTGAATAGATATTTTGTTTTTGATCAATCAAAGTAAACCAAGAACAATTAATATCTCAAAGCCCTTCAAGTCAGTCATCAAGAGCGAATCCAGGGACTTAAAATTTGAATATATTATTAATACCCTTTTTTAACAGAATATGGTCATCTATCCTTGATACATTTCATTCTCACTTTCCCTTTGAATTTACCTTTTGATGTTTGTTCCTGAGAAATAAAATCCATGTTTCCTTTGGACTCACAAACCAAACACGAGGAGCACATTTGAAATTCACTTGTGATGTCAGGGCATATCCTGGTGAAGTTTTGAAAGTTGGAGTGATTTAGAAAAATTCCCATCATAGTTTCAGTTTCCCTTACTGGTTGCAGAAAAGTCACAACAGAAAAATTTAAGGAAGAGAATGAATAGGTAAGATCAGGTTGTAAGCACACTTCCAGACATGATAGCTCCAACATGTTTCCTATAAAGGAAAACAAAAACTTTCTTTACTGTGAAAGTTTGAATTTTTCAAATAAATACACAATAATAGCTCCCAGTTTTTCTCAGTACATTTCAGCTTATCAGTGACAAGATGTTGTTTTTACATCAATTAACAATAGCTACTCCATTTAAATATTTCTTTTTAAAGTTTATCAACAGTCCCTATTAATTTTCAGCAAACAGTCCTTGTAACAAAGTGCTTGGAAACCCTAGCATTGTAACCATTCTCTCTTCTGGGAAAGTTCTAATGGACAAGCCTCAGGTTCCTCTGAATTCATCTGTTCTACGCTGGAGGTTCAAGTCAACTGCATGGAGTTGAACAGGGAATGGAAGTCATGAACAGTATAGTATCTCCATTAGTTTCCAAGGGCTGTGTAACAAGTTACCACAACCTGGGTGCCTTAAGATAAGAAATTCATTCTCTTACAGTTCTAAAGGCCAGCAGTTCAACACCGGTTATACTGGTCTGAAATCTAGGTATCTACAAGGCCACACTCCCCTGAGGGTCCTAGGGACGAATCTGTCCCTTGCCCCCTTCCAGCTTTTGGTGGCTGCTGGCATTCCTTGGCTTGCGGCTGTATCACTTCAAACTCAGCCTGTGTGGTCGCATTGCCTTCTTTGTGTCTGTCTTCTACTCGTCTGTCTGGGTCAAGTCTCCCTGTGCCTCTCTCTTATAAGGACAGATGGTTGGATTAGGGTTCACTTGGATAATGCAGGATAATCCCCCATCTCAAGATCCTTAACTTAGTCTCATCTGTAAAGACCCTTTTTCCTTATAAGGTAGCATTCACAGGTTCTAGGTTTTAACACCTAATCACCAATGTTTGGGTGGCCATTATTCAACCTGCCTGAACCTCTAAAGATGAAACTTAACAGGATGACATAATTTGTATTTTTGTCTGAAGACAAACATCTGATATGGAAATGGTGGTATAAATAGAAAAAAAAAGTCAACTTCAAAAGAAAAGACAGAAAGACTTAGTGTTGTATCTGTCATTAGCCAAGATACTCGAACAATTTAATCTCCATGAGTCTCATTTTCTCATCAGCAAAATAGAGATAATAACTCTAGATTCTGCTAACCTCATGGGGTTATAGTAGCATCAAGTGGTATAGTACATCTGAAAACACTTCTGAAATTTGTACAAAGGTATATTATTTAAAATTCAGACCCATGTTCCAAAGTAAAAATTAAAAATGCATCCTTCATTTAGGATAGAATTGTCTATGATTTAATTTGTACAAGTAATTAAAGATCACTATATAAAAATCAGAAATCCCTACTTAGCAGTAGTGCTCAACTAAGGAATAGGTAACCCCTCTTTCAGATATTCCCATCTGACTCTCATTTGCCAGTATAAGAGAATAAATAACATGCTCAATTCCACCATTATATGTCTTTACCTATATTTCATATAATCATATAGGGCAAAATACTATATTTTTTAAATTTTCTAAATAATGTGGAGTACAATAGAAGAATTACTCCATTTTTTTAGAATGATTACTTCTAGTCATACATCTTGGTTCTAACTTAAAAGAAAATGAAGCTATTGATTAATATTAAAAATTTCTTTTGCTTCTGGAATTTGTACTTTAATATTAATTCATAAGTGTTTCATTACTGATGATGATATTTTTATTATGTAATAAGTTAAAGGCTCATTCCCTTCTGCATTTGAAATTGCTTCCGTGATAATTCACATTTGATTTCCAGCTTCAAACACATTTCATACTTGAGTTGCTATAAAGTTTTTTGGGGGAGGGGTAATTTACTCCAGTGGTTCCCAAACTTATTTGGCCTACTGCCCCCTTTCCAGAAAAAATATTACTCAGCCCCTGGAAATTAATTTTTTTTAAATTTTAATAGCAGTTACTCATCGCCCCCAAATGCACCTGTGGCCATCACCGCCCCCCTGGGTCGCTGCAGCGCCCACCGGGGGGCGGTAGCGCCCACTTTGGGAATCACTGATTCACTCAAATACATAATTTTATAATTTATTTATAAACAAAGATGTAATCAAATAGTAACTAATTTTTTAAAACATTGTCTTCAATAACAATGTCCCAGGAGGGAGATAGAAATGCACTAGCTGATAGAACTCTAGCTTTTTTTATGTTAGTAAAATACACGAAAAACTTATTTCTTGCCATCTTTCCACTTTCCTCACTGGAATTTTTCAGCTCGTGAAATTTTCAACTTTTTGAATTTATAGTTTTATGCTATGACCTAGAAGGGAGATAGAGAAATTTTACTGTCAATAGTGCAGTCTTATTCAATAAGTGATCAACTGGGCTTCTTAGAATTTACATTTGGGTATGAGGTCATTTTATGATGTTTTTTAAACCTCGGGTTTAAATAATTCAGTTGGAAAATAAGTAGAGGACATATCCTTCCCTGATATAATTTTAAGAAATAAATGAATTCTACTCAATCATTTTTGTTATGAGATGGGCTATAATTTCATCACCATAAACAAGGATTTATGATTTTAACTACTGCCATTAATATTGCTGGGAACCAGGAATCTAAATTCTCACTCCCAGAGATAGAACTGCATGCCAGAATTACTCCACTACTAGGACTGCCATCTCTCAGAGGAAGTATACAGAATGCTAAATAGTATTAGGAAAACACATTACAGTATAGGACAAATGCCCAGATCAGTTGTTTTTTCTTTTTAAAGAAACATGGACGATCTTTATTTTCTTTTCTGGCACATCCTGGTGAAATTATGAAAGTTACTTCCTTTTTTAACTTTTATTATAATAAATCATATATAAGCATATATAAAATATATTGTGCCAGTTAAATAATAATAAAAATAAACACCATGTATCAATCACACAGATTAAGAAACAGGATATTACCAACATCTTTTAGGCACCCTAACCTGCCCATCCCTACACACAACTTCTTTCCCAGAGGTTGACCACTCTCATTAATTTTGTGTGTACCACCCCTTTGCTTTACCTTCTTTCAAAAATGTATATATTCCAAATAACATTGCTTTTTAGCATATTTTAGAAATATATACATATATATGGAATATGCTATATGGTTTCATCTATGACTTGCTTTTTCTGCTCAATATGTCTTAGTCATGTTGCTGTAGTTAATTATTTGTGGTATTTATTTGAAGGATGTATCACAATTTATTCATTCTCTGACCATGAACATTTGGGTGTTTCTATTTTTTGCTGTTCTGAATGATGCTGCTATGAACTATAATGCTCATACATGATGGGACTGTACAATAGTCCAACCACTTTGGAAAACAGGTTTTCATTTCCTTTAAGTTAAATATACATTTATGCCCTGACCGGTTTGGCTCAGTGGATAGAGCGTCGGCCTGCGGACTCAGGGGTCCCGGGTTTGATTCTGGCCAAGGGCATGTACCTTGGTTGCAGGCACAAACCCAGTGGGGAGTGTGCAGGAGGCAGCTGATCGATGTTTCTCTCTCATCGATGTTTCTAATTCTCTATCCCTCTCCCTTCCTCTCTGTGAAAAATCAATAAAAATATATTTTTTAAAAAATTTAAATATACACTTAGCATATCGCCCAACAATTCTACTCCTAGGAATTTACACAAGAGAAATAAAAACATATGTTCACACAAATATCTGTAAATGAATTTTCATGGAAGCTTTTTTATTTATAATAACCCAAAACTGGAAAGAATCCTTTCAGTCACCTTTTAGTGTCCCTGTCCCCCACGTATGGCCCCATGACACTGAGACTCTAGGCCACCAGGAATTGGTAGATGCCCCTGAAGTGACCAATTTGTTCACTGTTGCTTACCCATCTGGATTTATAATTTTTAGTCATTTTTCCCCTTTGAGAAGTTTTCTTATCAGTTCAACTATGTATTTTTTTAATTTTTAAATATGTTTTAACTCACATTTTATTTTTTTGTGCTAGGAATGTTTTTCAAGGTAGGGCTATAAGAAGAGAAGTCTCAACTCTCTGTTGACCTTCAAAAATATGTGAGAATTTATAATAAAACCTTCACTGTTTGACAGACGATAAGAGCTCCAAAAACTACTCTGCTATTCCTCTGTTAACTAGTTGTCAGGGAACTTTGGAAGAAGTATGGATTATTTCAGACAATACATATTCTGAGTTGTTGCTCCAGAATATTAAATGTAAACTAGGAAAAATAAGAAATTTTTTTCCACTAGAAACATAGCTAAGTGCAACCATTTTTGAGAAGCATTTGGTGACTTCTTATAAAATTAAATATACTCAGGTATTCTACTACTAGTTGCCTCATATAAATGAAAGCATATGTTCCTACAAAGATTTGTACAAGAATGTTCATAATAGCACATTTATAATTGCCACAAACTGGAAACAAGCCAATGGACGAATAGACAAATTTAGTGCATTTATACAATGGACTACTTAGCAAAGGAACTATGGTATACTCAATAACATGGATGAATCTCAAAACATTATGCTAAGCTAAAGAATCCAGACCAAAAATGGATATTGTATGATGATTCCATTTATATGAAGCATAAGAAGGCACAAAACTATACTATGATGACACAGGTCAGGAAGTTGCCTTGGGGGTGGGAGGAGATTTGACAGGAAAAGGCAGAAGGAATCTCTCTGGGAGTGTTGAAAATCCATAATTTATATGGGGATGACAGTTACATAGGTGCATACCATTGTCAAAATTCATGAAACTGAGCATTTAAGATCTTTTCCATTTTATTGTATGTAAGTTATGTCTTTCAAAAGCAGAGCAAAACAAAGCATAGCCAATTGCTTCTGAAGATCTTGCATCATTACTGGGTATTCAGCAATTTAAAAATATTAGCTGCCAGGAGAGGAGAGAGTGTATGGTTTTGCTGCCTAATTTACAGACATTGGTTAACATGTCGTTTCCTTTGGTCACAGGTCTGCCTCTGTAACAATTGGCATAGACTCATTTCAGCAGCAAAAACTCAATTATATTTCCATTTTGGATCCA